TTGAAGGATTTTCTCATTACTCCGTATTTGGTTATTTACATCTTTTGATTTTTTAAATTGTTAGTCGGTTAGGGCTGTAGGGCTTAGGGTATATAACGTATATTATAAGTATCTTAATATATAGAAATTGTAATTTGTGATTTTGATTGATTGAGATATTGAGATATGATAGCCTATTTCATGACACTGAAATTGTCTGAATCGACTGATTTAATTAAGGAAAAATTGATAGTAATAATCCCAACTATTGGTGGTCCGCTTATAATAATCCCAACTATCGATTATTTCATAATAATCCCAACTTTACGGACCTTCCGCCAATAATGGTCCGTATAAATAAATTCTTGTAGTTTCTGAAGTGGATGAGAAGAGATATAGCAAGTAATCCCTATAAATAATCTCAACTTTTAATTTTTACACTTAATTTCTATTTAAAATTCATTTTTTTAGGAGGTAATATCTGGTCATGGACCATTATTGGCGGACGGTCCATATAGTTGGGATTATACAAAAATAATCAATAGTTGGGATTATTATCAGCGGACCGGCAATAGTTGAGATTATTATTTTCAATTTTTCCTTTAACTAAAATCCATGACACTAATTTTGCTGAATTATGCAAAAGTTGTACTTCGTATTTAAAATATATTATATTAATAAAATAAATAAATTTATGTGAAAAATGGCTAAAATGGTTCTATAGAGTAACTTTACTTAATTGACCTAGAAAAGTAACTTCAACCTTACTTATTTTAATTATTACATAATTTAGCGCGGGAAATCAAAAGTTATGTGTTTGATGAAAAAGTTGATTAATAAGCTGAAAAGTAGGGTGACCAAAAGGGCTTTGAATATTTATAAGGTTTTATACAAGAATATAATTTGTGGATTAAATTTCTATTTATGAACCTTTAACTTATTTAGTATTATTTTCAATCAAATTATAGATTTTGTGATGACAGAAAAAACAAAAACATGATTCCGGATGTACAAAGGGAAAGAACAAACTAATAAAATCGTTTACCGGCTCTATGAATAAAAATATTCCCGTTAATAGGGTATAATGCATTTTGTATGTAACTTACTTAAATTTAATTGATATTCTATTTTTCATATTTTTATGTTGAAACCCGCATAATTAAACAAAGTGTCTATAAAAGTGTCTAGGGCCTCATAATTGCTCTAGACGACCCTGCCGGCATGTGTGATGGTGTGTAAAAAATGCATGAATAGTTTTTTTTCTTTCTTTAGCAGGTTATAGTGATAGTCGAATTTGAGACGTAGGGTATGTGTACACTTATCGATGTTGATAAAAATATACTGTCGTTCTTGATAGTCCAATTAAAATGACAGTAGTTATGAATACATTAATTTTTATGATTGGTGACAATTATGTTGTTATGAGTATATTAATTCATAAAACTGTCATTTAAAAGAGTTAAATATTTACTAAAGTAGAATAAAAACTTTGACATGGGACATTAAAAAATGATAATTGAGAATCTTGAAACAATAGGAAAGAAGTAGAGAAACTAACATCCCATAACAATAACCACCTAATTTGCCCCACCCATTGCCGTTTCTGGGCACAATTTAGCAAACACTCAAAAGTCAAAACCATTCTTTTGTGAGAGAAATAAGTTCATATATATAGTGATACTGGAGTAGAGCATACAATCGATGAGAGGTTTTAAGGCGGCATATATGACTCCTTTATGGAGTCATATGGTCTATGTGAGCATCACCTTGGCAGTATTAATTAGGGCAAATTTTTCCCCTTGGTTTTCATTCATACGTAAGGCAGTATATATACAGGTATAAGAAGCTAATACTAAGCCCTTGGCCCAACTAAGCTATTTACAAATGAACTAATTACAGTTGAGTGCAAGCTCAATCTAATACCCCCTCAAGTTGGAGCATGCGGATTGAAAATGCTCAACTTGGATAGAAGATGATGAAATTGTCGATGACCAAGAGCTTTTGTGAAGAGATCGGCTAATTGATCATTGGTAGAAATGTGTTGGGCAGCAATCAAACCAGCCTGGAGTGCATCACGGACGTAGTGACAATCAACTTCAATGTGTTAAGTGCGTTCATGAAAAACCGGATTATGTGCAATGTGAAGAGCAGAGCGACTGTCACAAAATAGAGACATAGGCCGAGAGTGAGCAACACCAAGTGCATGAAGAAGACCTTTTAGCCATTTTAATTCAGCGGTAATTGCTGCCATGGACCGATACTCGGCTTCAGTAGAGGAGCGAGAGACGGTGTGTTGCTTCTTAGTCTTCCAAGAGATAGGAGATCCTCCAAAGAAAACTATCTAGCCAGTAATAGATCACCGAGTGAGAGGGAAACTAGCCCAGTCTGAATCACACCAACTAGTGAGACAACTATCTGAGGAAGCGTGGAGAAGAATGCCCTGACCAGGTGATCCTTTTAGGTAACGAACAACGCGAAGAGCCGCGTGCCAATGCTCCTGTCGTGGTGTCTGCATAAATTGAGAGAGAATATGAACAACATATGCCAAGTCGGGGCGTGTAAAAGATAAATAGATGAGATGCCCAACTAGCCGGCGATAGGAATCCGGACAAGTCAATAAATCACCCTTGGCCAGAGCTAAAGAGTGATGTTGCTCCATAGGAAAAGAGGAGGGTTTCGCTCCAAGAAGTCCTGCCTCAGAAATTATATCCAGAGTATACTTGCGCTGGCAAAGAAAAATACCATCAGCACTACGGGCCACTTCAATGCCCAGAAAATATTTAAGAACGCTCAGATCCTTCATGTGGAAACACGTGTGCAAATAATGTTTAAACTGAGATAAAGCAGAAGAATTATTCCCAGCAATAATTAAATCATCAACATAAATTAGAACATGCAATCGAACGGTCCCGCGATGATAAGTAAACAAAGAATAATCAGAATAAGACTGAAGAAAGCCATAATTCTTCAAGGAGGTAGATAATTTTGCAAACCAACAACGAGGAGCTTGACGTAAACCATACAAGGACTTTTCGAGGCGGCAAACAAGTCTGGGACGAGAGGTAGAAAAACCAGGCGGGGGTTTCATATAAACCTCCTCAGCTAAGTCTTCATGAAGGAAGGCATTGTGAACGTCCATTTGGTGAAGCTCCCAATTTTTAGCTGCAGCAACAGCTAGAAAGAGACGGACAGTAACCATTTTTGCAACAGGAGCAAATGTCTCAGTATAATCAATACCTTCTTGTTGGTGATTCCCAAAGACAACTAACCGTGCCTTGAGGCGTTCAACACTTCCATCGGAGAGATATTTGATTTTGTAAACCCACTTGCACCCGAGCGCACGTTTTCCGGGAGGTAATATAGTCATGTCCCAGGTGTGATTACTCTCAAGTGCTCGAATCTCACTCTGCATGGCCTCTCGCCAACCTGGGTCCGTCATAGCCTCGCGAAAGGAACGAGGTTCATGTCCTGCAAGAATTGCTCCAAGAAACAGACGATGACGAGCAGAAAATTTGTCACAATTCACATAATGAGCTATAGGATAAGGCGTACCTGAGGAACTGACCGGGACTGGTTGCGGCGGAGATGGGCTTAATTTCCGGATATGATTTGTAACAAAATCTTGCAGTAACACAGACGGACGCTTCGGTCGCAAACCACGACCAAGAAGGGGCTGCTGTACAGAGGAGTTCTCGGCAGAAGATGTCAGCAGGGGTGAGGGTGCTTCTGTCTCGGCCGTAATATGGGTTACTAGGGGAAGTGGGTCCGGATCAAGCAAAACCGTCGGGGCAGTATCCATGGTCACGACAGCCTCAGTAGGAGCATCTGAGTTCGTGGAAAAAGGGAATACATCTTCGTGAAACTGAACATCACGAGAAACAAAAATATCACCAGTGGAGGAATCATAAAACTTCCAACCCTTTTTCCCCGCCGGATATCCAACAAACACACAACGCCGGCTACGCGAAGCAAACTTATCACCACGAGACTTTAAATTATACGCGTAGCTGAGACACCCAAAAACCCGCAAATGATTAAAATCAGGTGCCTTGCCGATAAGAAATTCATATGGAGTTTTCCCTCCCAAAATACCGGACGGCGTGCGGTTAATGAGATATACCACCGTTAAAACACACTCACCCCACAAAAAATAGGAATATTAGCCTGAAAGATTAAGGCACGGGCCACATTTAATATGTGACGGTGCTTCCGTTCAACTCTGTCGTTCTGCTGTGGAGTGTCAACCCAGGAGGTCTGAAAAATTATTTCGTGTTGTTCGAAATAAGGTAACATACATCACACATTTTACATTTTTAGTGGGAGTCTCCACTAAAAACATGTTTGGTGATGGTGATGGTGATGCAACATAAATCATACGACTTCATAGAATGTGTCATGTATGACTCTTTAACATCTTTGTACAATCGGCACTCCCATACTTAGAATGGCATCATTGTTTTGGTTAAAAAAATACTTCCAGTCCTACACGCTACAATGAATAAAAGTAGGGATAATGAACAAATATATTCTTAGAAATTTCTATGTGAGAGCAAGTATACTGTATACCTTCCCAATTTTAGTTTTGAATAATTGAACACATAAATTTTAAATTTGGAACAAATATTTCAAAGAAGTATAAATTAGAGAACATACACTCTGACAATATATCATATAACATATACTCCTTATCCCTTAACCATATGAACAAATTGGTATATTTATTATAATCTTACCATTTTCTATTTCGTGTTTATTCTCTATCGTATAGTTCAAGAACATATTTGTACATTCTACCATAAAAATATTTGGTATAAATAATGTTATATTTCGTGTAAATCTTACTATTATATAAATTGTCTAAGGAAGTTACATGGGCCTATTTCCGTTTGTACAGGTTTGACGGGAGCTTCGGACTGGCGCAAATGGGAGTAACGGTTAATTCTCCGTTTGGCATTCGTGGTTTAGTAATTATGTGTGGCCAGCAGTTTGCCGGTACTGTTCGGTACTGTTTGCAACTGTTTCAGTATGCGGATGAGCTTCTTCGGTTGAATAATATCTCCATCCGTTCCTGCGCCAGCCAGACCTAAAGCTTCATTCGTTTCTTGGTTTTCTCCTCCTCTGCGCCTGTTCTTCGTCGAAACTGTGAGTTCTCTCTCTGGATTTCCTTCTGACATCGGCCAGTCCGGATATACCTACATATGGTGGAGGCGAGTTGGCACGGCGAATTTTGATAGGAGGGAGCCAAGCTTCCCTGTGACGACAGACTCTCGAAGGCTGCGACCGATGGAAGGAGTCCTGGCCAACTGCGAAGGCTTCCCAGCATCGCTCGGACTTTAGGGTTGGAACTTGCGAGATGCTTCACCCAACTACCACCAAATCCCAGCGACGGCGAGTCTTCAACGAGCCTTCACCTAAACTGGTAAGACGTGAGGGGAGGGGAGGCCTCAATCGACCCAACAACAGACATCAGGCACCTGTAAACTTTGGGGGTACTCTTACGAGAGAAAGTTTCCCACCCCTGGGCAAACAGGTTTGGGTTTTCAATTGAAAGTAAATTCTTTCAATTCAATGTCAATTGCAATGCTCTCTGTATTTATATATATAATTTTAATTTATTCTGCTTGGGGTGATTTATTGTTTGATCAATTTTTTTTTGTGAAGACTGGCTTTGAAAAGAGAGAAGAATCACTGGCAGATTAGAACACATTTGGTCGTTTCATTTTATATGTTTTTTTTATTTTGATTTTGTCCACACATTTCTGAGTCATGTGAATGTTGAATGTTAGTAGCTCCTGCACAACTTCATATTACCTGATTTTGAAACCTTACCTACAAAATAATTTCGAATATGTTTGTTCTAGGATTTAATTGAAGTAGGTCTGCTCTGCCTTACTATCTAAAAATTTGAAACATTCTCGGTGTTTGTGATATGTCTCATTGAGTTGTTTGTATGGTCAATTATTTTTTCTTATATTTTCTCCCAGCTTGTATTTTCTTTAGAGTTCTACTGATTTTGACGTTAAAGATCTTAATCTGTCGCACATGAACAATTATAGCAACACAACTCTGCCTTTCCAACACCAGGGCGTATGTGGAAAATGTGTTGAAGCTCGTACACCAACACAGTCTGTCTTTCCAATCGGCAGAATATGTGGTGAACCCCAAAATCTGTTATACTTTTTATCATTTTTTTTAAATTGTTATGGAGTATATTGTTGTTTCCTTAAAATCACTTCAATCACAACTTCAATTCTTCTCTGGCAGAGTACCTCATCTCTGGTGGGGTATGAGATTTAATTTAATTTCAGTTATTGTCTGTTCAAATGAATCTTACTATATGTAAAAGTTTTAAGAAGGTTAGTTGGCCTATTTCCGTGTGTGCAGAAACTTCCGATAGGCAGAAACTTCCGTGTGGCCTTTAAAAGTTTTATGAATCTTACTGTAAAAGTTTCTGATAGGCAGAAACTTCAATTCAGCGCCAGTGAAGCTATCCGAGATGCTTGCTCCTGTTTGTTACCATTTGCTCCTATTCCAACATATGAATGAGCTTCCATATTTGTTTGGGACGCCAAACATAATCCTTCCTTCTGTTTCTGCTCTCTTCGGACTTCGGATTCATAGTCTAGGGTTCGAAAAAATCCCTCTGCCAAGCCGCCCAACGTCTACGAGTATCATTGATGCCCTGGTAATCATCGCCTCTTAGCTAAGATTTCTTGTCCTATTTTGCTTCTTTTTTGTTTCTATTTCATTTCATTTCTAGGTGGGGTTCTCATATGCTACGATGTACTCTGCGGCCATCATCAATCGATATCAAACATGGTCTTGTTTCACATTTTTTAAAGTTTTATTTTTTCACACCAGACCCCTTAATTGATTTGGAATGAATCTAACAATTACTACTTTTAATTTCTGACCCCTCAAATTAACACATTTAAATGCTTCTGTGTGAAAGCATCGTGGTAGTCTGGTAGATTTTAGTTTCACTGGATGCATTACTTCTTTGCATATTGAAAGTTTAATTTTATTGAAAAGTCTTTTATGTGGATTAAGGGTTATCTAAGCAATCAAGATTAAACTTTTCTCTCTGATTCAGGCACTATTGGAGACTGTGGCTAGGGTTAAGACCAAGAAAAATGACACAAATAAGGAATAACAGTATGTAATTCCACTATACGCCCTCGGTATTTGGTTTCATTCTCGACCATATGCTTATCTTTTTTTTTTTTTTTTGTCTTTTTTATTGTCTTTTTTTTTTTATTCCATGGAATGGGTGTTCAGGTCTTTAAACTTGATAACGATCATGGAGCAGAAGTGTGGATGAAATCCACAGTTCTATTTTTTTGAGAAGGTAAATCAAAACTAAGTTTGATTTTATAGGTTGGTTTTGTATTGGTTTAATCCGTAATATGAAACACATTGTTCTCCGCATGAGTGTGTTTTATTCACTCTTGAGCCTAAGTTAGTTTTTCCCTAGGCTATGCTTTTTTGTGGGCTTGTATGTCCTGTATTTATGAGGTTTTGGCAGCATAAAAGGGAAAGGGAAGAGTTGACCTTTATGTGTGCGATTTTTTTTGCTCTTCTGACTTTTCCTTTGCTATTTTTCTTGCTTTAATCTGTTTCCAGATAGTGGTTTCAATCTTCTGGATCTTTTTTTTGTGTAAACTGTTTGTGTGAATTTTGGTAAGTTCACCAAAAGGTGACAAAGATGTTTGTGGGTTACTCCATTCTCTCTAATTGTTTTTATTGTGATCCTAACAACTACTACAATGTTTTTTCAGACCAAGCCATTCTTTTCACATCAAGAAGTCAAAACATGGGCTGCCAGATATGCATGTGCAAGAGCAACATTAGAATTAGACATAAACTCAAACTTAAAAGCCTACGGTGCGAAAAGGGTCAAACATTTTGTACCAGCAAGCTCTAATCTTATGCATCATATAGCACAAAATCTGCTCTTCTTCTGTTAGTCTGCAGGTTTTCACTCTTTTTCACACAGTTTGGTTACCACCTTGTTGTATAGCTTAAAGTAGTGATCGTAAACTGTAGGTTATGTTTGTTTGGATGCCCACCTGTTCAGCCCTTTTGAGTCGGAAAGAAGCACTGAGGTAAGTTGAATTGGAAAAGAAAAAATTGAAGAAAGAAGCTACTGATAGAAACATTGATTGTTTCAACCTGTTCTTTGGTTGTTGTATCTCATCTAATCACTCAATTTCTCGTTTTCTATTCATGCAGTAGAAAATGCTTCTGCTACTAAACATAGTTACACCACACTAGCAAGTCTTGATTGCCTTCAATTAGCTATAGAAATTTGCATTATGTGTGGGTTGTGGCTCCCTCCTAATTGGATTCAACAATAATGGCAAAACCCCAAAATGAAATTCAAATAAAACTTAATTAGTTCAAATTATAAGGCAAGTAGTTGTTCACGTTGTAAGTTTTAGTTCTACTTTTTTATTTTTATACACTTTAATATCCTATGAACAATCATTTATTGTTTTTGGTTTAATTGATCCTTTAGTGTTGAGCCTATCTTAATAAAAGTTTGTTTTAATAATGATGATGCCATGATGGTAATGTTTGTTAATTTGCAGAAAACGATGCCTATCTTAAATTGGGAAGTCTTGCATGGATAATAGTTTTAGCAGGCTGGTAAGGATATCCACTATTCCAGTTGCATTTCTCCTAACTGAGGAACAGGAAAGCCTATTATCCATGCAAGACTTCCCAATTTGGTTTTCTTGAAGATAGACAGATTCTTCACTAGAAGAACACATTTCACTTTTCGAGCCTTGTTTCACTTTCGCCTGTCCATTTGCTTCAGTCTCCCATCTACTAATAGTAGCCTGAATAGTAGGATCCAGGGCCATACTGATTTTACCCAACTGATATTCACAAATATCAGCAACATACTCCCCCATCCATTTCCAAAAAACAATTGAGCTCAACACATTGTCCTCTTTCCAGTTGATACCTCTTTTCATGAGTATTTTGTGTCTGATCAATGCTTGCCATATGATACCTGTAATCAAAACCTACACGTCTATCTTGAACAGTTATAGTTATACCATCTACTGGTAGTCCCATAACCTCTTCACATCCTATAATGGCCTCAGGGAAACGACCAGGATTAAGATCTTTAACAAACATCAGATACATGACAACTCCAACACCAGAAACATATCCTGATATCCCTCATACTCTGTAACATTCCCAGAAAATTCTCCTTCCAACCCATTTTGATTATCTATCATAGAAGTAACACCCTCACATCTGAAACTATCAGACTTGTGCAATGACTTCACCCCTTCCAAAGCAATGTTTAATATATCACATTCCATCATTACAAGTTTTAAAACATTAAGCCAGTTCCTCTCTTGAATCAATATACAAATTGATGGTATTTTCCTTGCATGTTCACCACTTATCAAAGCCAATTGGAAAATAGCAGGGTTGATCTCATGATTAGACATCAGGAATCTGTTAGTGTCAATCTTCCAATTTTCAGTAAATCCTATTTCCGAACTATCTTGAATGTTTTTAATATGGTTAACACCATCAATTAGGAAACCATCAATCTGGTTCAGCCCTTTCATGGGAACACCCAATCCAAGTTCAGGAACGAAATCAATTAAGGGTTTCAATTTGAGTATGTTAACATAGCTCATATCATCAGTAAATATATCTCGTTTAAGTATTTTTGAACCTTCCATATGATCTGATGAAATTTCCGAAGGTTGATTAACCTCCTCTTCAGGGTCTGTTTCCTTAACTGAAGGTATAAGCGATGATGAGATGTGAGATCCAGCGAATGAAGAAACCTTCGTAGTAAGAACCTCTGCTCACGTGGAAGCCAGAAAACCAGAAGAAGTAGGCGACGACCCTTTTCTTTTCGAATTTCTGCAACGACGCACAGTCCTCGATCGTCCTCGCCTGTGACGTTTCTGCAGCTTGGTGCTTACCTCGTCCAGTCCTGTCCTCGTTTCCTTATTCTTCGCACGCTTCTCCTTCTCCAGTTTTGAGTGTTTTTCCTTTTTTAGGGTTGACCCCTTCTCTTTCTCCCTTTTTCCTCGTTTCTCTTTTTCCGCGAGCTTCCCCACTTTTTTGCGCGACTTCTTTCGCGAGTGCGAAACAGTTCGCGGCTCTTTCCACGACTCCTGCGACTTTCGCGGCTCAGTCTCTTTCGGCGATTCCTTCTGCGACTTGGTCTTCGACTTTCCTCGCGAGTGCCGATTGTTTCTTTGCAAGCTTAATTTGCGTATCTCTTCGCAAAAACGCCTGGTATCTTCGCTCATCTTTTCGCAAAACCTCCTGTTTTCTTCACGCCTCTTTTCCCAAAACAGTCCCCAATCTTCCATCGTTCCAGTACAGGATTACAGGTAACAAGATCGTTTGCTCTGATACCAATGATAGAGATCTCCAGAATTCACAACAATTTCAGTAAGGAATAACAAGAAACTATGGAAAAGCTTTATTGATGAAGATGGCGATTACAGAAGAAGAACATTACAAGCCGAAGCCTCCCAAAGAGAAGAGACGTAACTCTCTAATCTTCCCAGTCCCAGACCACAGTCCAAAAGACCTCCTCTACTACTCCCCCTCCCCATCTATTTATAATAGAGACCCTTATTACTATTATTATTATTATTATTACTCCTATAATTAATATAACACTAATGGGTAGGTCCCTAACATACGTTCAATATTGTTGCTGTGACCATGTTCGGGATAAAGAGAGGAGGTAAGCTCTGTTAAGTCCTCGATCCTTGTGTGAACAAGAGTTCGGATGGCCGGATGGGAAGGAAGAATTTGATTTAGATTATATCTACATTGTTGTTTCCATTAGAGCCCGTATGAACACATTCAATGTTCTTGGTGTACTAGAACATAGTAGCCTACCTACTTCTTGAAGGTAAAATCAACTAATCAAGCACTTTTTTCATAAAAAAACAGTTTTTGAGTATCAACATGGCTTAAAAGATAAAATGATACTACATGTATATGCAGGAAGTGGAAGATGCTAAAAGAATCAGAGGAACTGTTATTGAGAGTTTTGAGACCACATATTGAATATGTAATTTTATTTGAAATAACAACATATATGTCTGTTTCCCATTTGTGTGCTCTCTTATTTTACTCATGTCCTCCAAAAACTGTTTTACATTAGGTTTGACAAAAGAATCACACCTTCTTTTGCTGAAGAGAAGTTTACGATAGATGGAATTGATGTCAAGTCTATATCAATGGTTGTGCAGGTTTCTGATAAGGGAATCACTACTAAAGATGCAAAACCTGGGGAGATTGCCTCTACACCTTATGGAACGGCTGTTTGGTCTACTGGCGTTGGAATTTGAGAGTTTGAATTATTATTTTGCCATAAATTTGCCGATGTGCTAAAATATTTTGATATTTATTGTGTATTTCAGGTTAGACAATCTGATGATGCCCAGCACATGATCACTCCATGGTGATTAATACAGTTGGCACCTATCAGAAATGCTCCCAGCCACAAATAAGTTTTCCGTATTGTTCCCTAGCCTATTTGTTGTTACAAAATGTTCTTTATTGCATTGTGCTAAGTAACACTTATTTTCCGTGAACGACGAAATGTGAGAAGCAACAAAATGTTCATATACTCAATGAGTACATTTTTATGCAAGAATCATGTGATACACACTATTTGGCTTTTAGTTTTCTTCATCTTTAGGTAATTAACTTTGCGCTACTTTTGTTCCCGATTTATTTCTCCCCCATTGGGCATTGACCGTCGCGCAACGCGCGTGCCCAAGCTAGTACTTTTATATATGGTGTAATTGTGTATACACACATATGAAAGCACCAGGGCCGGTCCTGGTATAGGGGCAGCCTGGGCTGCTGCCCAGGGCCCACCAGGAATAGGCCCCCCCAAATTATGTAGTACTAGTATTATCTATTATATATATTAAATATTAAATATTAACACGAGAAGCCGAGAACTTCACATTTAATATTAATTGTGAATTCCCAATTATGGAATCACTTCCCAAGCGTCAGATCCTTCCACTTTCTTGGTAGAATTTAGATTTATCTCTTCGGTCTTCTCTGTTGGATGTTGCAATACATGCTTCGATTCAGCCTTAGTTCATTTAGTAGTTCTCAAATCTCAATTCTCAGAATCTAAAATCACTAGACACTGGTTTTTGGTCTTTTGCCTTTTCTTCTCTGGACGACTGAACCTGTGATCCTCTCAAAGGATTCAACGAGCAGTCGAGCAGAGTAGCAGCCGGTCAGGTGGTCTGTCCCACATGTACTTACTAATTATATGATTTGATTGGTTTATTTTTTAATTATTTAATATTATATACCTGTGTATAATAAGAAGCGTATTTAGTTAGATTCATTGAATTGACTCTTCAAATAAGGGAGTTCTGCAAAACACTTTCCATTATTTCATATAAGGGGGTGCGAATTGCAATTGGCAGATTCCTCTTTTGCATTTGTGCTAGGGCCTAGGAGGTGTCTATTAATTATTATCACTTAGAGCTTGGGTTCTACCGCAATTTTCAGGTTGTATCTTTCTTTCTCTTATAATATTATATTACATAGAATGCCTCCAAAGAAATATTTATCCGGCAGTGAGAAAAGAAAAAAAAGGAAATTAACTCAGAATGCCAATGTCATAAGAAAGGTTGGACAGCTTAACGATTTTATGTATTGAGAAGGACATGTTAGATAAGGTTAATCTTGATAGCATTATTATTGATGATTTTGTGTCTAAGAATGCGCGAAGAAATTATTTTGTATGGCTTATCAGACGTAGTTCTATTGATAAAAACATTTACTTGTGTAATGAATGTTATTTTTGACAATGAAATTTTTATATTACATTCTTACACTATTAATTAGGGGCCTACTTTTTGTATTTTGCCCCGGGCCATAAATTGTCAGGACCGCCCCTGGAAAGCACACAATCATACTATTGTGTGGGGGGTGTTTCCCTGGTAGTTGATAATCCATTCTTTGCCTGTCTTGACCATCATATGGCTTTTGACTAATCCATCAGCTACTAGTGTGTTTGGTTAAATAGCCTTTTCACTTAGTTGGAAAAAAGGTCAAATAGACTCTCCAACTTACATAAAAAGGTCAAATAAGCTCTTATATAGGAGGCTCTGTCCGGCCGTCGCCATTTGGGGCAGTTCCCGATGGAATTTTTTGATGAATTTTTTTGAGCATCTTATTCATTAAGTCTAGTTTACTCATACCAAATTTCAGCTAACAGTTCAATCGGAAAGGCATTCAAATGAATTCTTGAAGATAACAGCGCAGTTAAAAGAGCAGTTATCTTCAAGAATTCATTTGAATGTCTTCCCGATTGAAGTTTTAGATGAAATTTGATATGAGTAAACTAGACTTAATGAATAAACAAAAACAGTTAGACATATAAAAGAGATAAGGAATTTATTATAGAAAAAAGTGTATGAATATGAAATATATTTTACAATATACTTCTTTTTATGTGGGTTAACATAATTTTGTAATAAATTAGTAAAGAAAGAAGTTAATTCAGTTGTAATTTACTTAGTTAAAGACAAAGATGAGTAAAAAATAACAAATAATTCATGTTTATTACGGAGTATCAAATATAATTCAAGAAATCATGTATAAAATAATTATAAATGCACATATGAAATATGTAAATCCGACACATGAAAATGTAATCACTTATTTTATCAAATGTTAATGGAAAGTTGGAAACAAACAAATTCAATATCTTTTTTTTTTAAATTAACAAATTCAATATCTTAAAAACACTAAAAACATATAAAAGAGAACAAAAATATATTATAGAAAAATGTAATTGTGATCACATTTTTCATATTTTAATTAATAAAGGAGATTAATACAACTGAAGGATAATAGAAAAGAAAAGGAAGAAAGAAAACCGGGAAGAATGGCAACAGAAATCAATCGAAGGGAAAGCAGGGAAAGTTAATTAGAGGAAGCTTTTTAGTAATGATTCCAACATACGAATCATGATTTCAAATTCTTTGTAATAAAAAATACATTGTAATTAATAAGCTAGATGAGATATGCAACAATTGGCCGGGGGAGGAAGCAGTGCGGCGTAGAAACAATGGCGAAGAAAAAAATGTTGTGATGGAGAAGAATAACAGCCGGCTAATTAAAGAAGAGAAGAATATTTGAGTTTTTTTTTTTTGCGAGGAAAAGGAATTTATTGATAGAATAACTCAGAATTACAATCCTGTTTCAGCAGATCGTTAATCTCGTGCGGTGACTCAAGTCGTAGAGCTGCCGTATTGGGATCGATGTATCATGCGCACGATATAACGGTCCCAGGTATAATTTTTGAATGCGAAGTATTACCTTTTGGTCTAAAAAATTAATTTAGAAATTATACATATATGTAAGGAATCCTTAACAACCAATCCAGGTATATCACATATGATATACGAAGTACCATATATGAGAACAAACTCCCACCTGCTATATAAAAAGTTTATACAACGAACTAAAAATCAAAATAATGTAAATATGCAACTTTGTGACCTTTTTAGAAGTATTCTCTATGAAATACAAAGTAAAAATGTAAACTAAAACACACCTTTTATAGCAAAATTCATTCTACTTACCTGACTTAATTTCTTTCACCTTTAGCCCACGAAGCATAAAGTCTAAAATCACAATTTAGATCCAAATCACAATTTGGATCAAATCACAATTAAGAAAAAGAACCTATTTTTTTCTTTATCTAATAAAATTTTAAAGACTACATAAAGAGTAATAATGGAGATGATAGTGATGGTATAAAATACATACTCCAGATTGTGTAAATACGTTGTACTTCATATACAATAAGAAAGTTAGAAGTGTTTTTAATACTCTCTTATTCCAATTTTACCTGTCTTATTTCTTTTCTGAGTTATCTTAAAATCAGTGTCACATTTTCATTTTTGAAAAAAATATGTTATCTACAACATTTTACATTACTATACTCAAATGTCAACCATAACTTTTACTTTTTCAACCATTTTATTAATAATTATGTCAAACCAAAGTAGGACAAATAAAACAAGACAGATGTGGTATTACTTTTTGTAATTGATTTAGATCCTGTTTGATGACCCTATTTTAAGTTTATCAAACTTAGCAACTACTCCTGAATTGAGTAATTGAGTAACTTTTTCATCAAATACACAACTTTTAAAAAAACTTATGATGAAAAAAGAGGTAAGGGTCAGATTGGTACTTGAAGTTGCATAAAAAGGGTCAAATAAGTCCTTATATATGCGGTTCTGTCCGGCCGTCGCCATTTGGGGCGGTTCCCGGTGGAATTTTTTGACGAAATATTTTGAGCATCTTATTCATTAAGTCTAGTTTACTCATACCAAATTTCAACTAAAAATTGAACCGGGAAGGCATTCAAATGAATTCTTGAAGATAACTGCGCAGTTAAAAACGCAGTTATCTTCAAGAATTCATTTGAATGTCATTCCCGATTGAAATTTTAGCTGAAATTTGGTATGAGTTAATTAGACTTGATGAATAAGATGCTCAAAAAATTTCATCTAAAAATTCCACCGGAAACCACTCCAAATAATGACGGCCGGACAGAGCCTCCTAAATAAGGGTTTATTTGACTTTTTTGGTTAGTACATGAGCATATTTGCACCTTTTCCCTTCTTATATGTAGCCATTGCTATTCTAACGTAAGCATCCAATACTTTCAAATATGAATTACGTATATATTTGTATAAGACCTCTTTTTTTACTAGTATCGTGTTTGGTCTAGTAGAATACAAAGAACAATTTTGGTTGTGTACAAACATCATTTTTCTACAAAGAATATGGATCAAAAGAATACTCTAAGACTCTTACCCTTTTTAAAATATGACAAAAATAAAAATATTGGGTAAAAATGTAACACAGTAACTTTAATGACCATTGATTATATTCAAATTTTATAGTGACTGTAAAAGTACACATAAACAATTTAGTCATATTTTTGTCCCCCGACATGGTGGGTATAAGATGAGTATAAAAGTGTATACAACAAGAAGTCCACACACTCACACACAAGAATGATCAGGTCCGAACGTTCGGACAGGAGCCTCCGTCCGAACATCCTCGTTTAGGGCCCTTCCCGGTGGAAATTTTTGATGAAATTTTTTGAGCATGTTCCTCATCAAGTCTAGTTTGTCCATACCAAATTTCAGCTCAAAATTCGATCGGGAAGACATTCAAATCAGTTTTTGAAGACACTCAAATTTCAAGTCTTTATATTTTGACGCAGTCAACTTCAAAAAATGATTTGAATGTCTCCCCGGTCGAATTTTGAGCTGAAATTTGATATGGACAAACTAGACTTGATGAGGAACATGCTCAAAAAAATCCATCAAAAAATTCTACCGGAAAGTGTCCCAAACGTCTATGTTTGGACGGTGCTCGGACGGGGAATGTTCAGACCTGAACATTCCTCTATATAAATATAATCATACCGGCAACCTGGGCCCACTGCGGGCCTCGGTCCAGTCGAGTTATAGGAATCTGCAAAAATTTGATTCATGTGTGCACCCTCCCGGAAACTGTTTTTTTTACTCCAAAAGATTATAGGCTGAAGGAATATACCACAACTACCTAAACTGTACACAAAACATAGACTTTGGTCTTGGAGAGGCAGCCATAGAACTCTTATTGTTCCTCTCATAAACTACACCATTTACAATTTAAAAGCTAGCAGAAAAATATCAGACTCGGAATTTTCATTATTGGATGGCCCCTTCTCAATAAATAACCAGCTGCTTAACCATCAGTTACCTCTCCATGAACAAGCACTTGGGCTTCAACAGATAATAGTCTCTTCCTCCGCTTGTAGCATTTAAGAAAACCAACCTCTGTGCTACCGTCCTTTCGATCGGGAGCATCAGCAGTTTGTTTGAACTGAGCATCATGAACAATATATTAAAATGAAACACCCCGAGCATTAATAGTGTATTTGTGAACGATGGGAACCGGGAAATGAAAAATGTGACACTAAAACTAGTGTATTTGTGAACTAAGTCCCTACTTTTTTTTAATTAAAATGTAATTGTGCAAAAAAATCTTTAGAATTTTAATATATTACTTTATCATGAGCACCATAATAATGCAATTAAAAAAGTAGCAATTTATGCATAGATATTGATTCAAATAACCTACAAATGAGAAATATATTCTGAAATACTCAAAGTTGTTTTTAACTAATAGAATTTATTGGGGAATAACCTGCAGAACGTAGTTTAAAACTTTTCTTTGCTTATAGCAATTCGATTAAAATACTTCATCATTTACAAAAAACTATCCAAACACTTGTGTGCATCATCATAACATTAAGAGAACGCGTTTTCCTGAAAAGGCAGACATTTGTGTGTGTCATCATAACATTAAGAGAACATGCTTTCATGAAAAGGCATAGTACCGTAAGAAGTAGGGGAGCTTGGTTGATTTTGCTGCTGGTAAGGGTTCCTCCCGGCGTACTAATAAAAGGCATAAAAGATAGTTAGCTGCTATTGGGTATGGTGATACAAACAAATGCAATATAAACTCACAAACCTGTCCCAAACCTGATCGTTTCTACTTAAACCTGTCCCAACCCTGATCAATTTCTACTTAAACGCGTAGAGGATAATCATAAATGGAATAAATAAGTAGAAATAAGTTGATATCTTAATTGACATTTTCTTCTTTCAAGTAGATGATAGAAAGCTAAGAAAGATACTGAGGCAGATTGATGAATACTCATCATTATCTCCTGACCGAGTTTTTACCACTTTCGATCCATCGACTATTGTGTCAATGAAACTTTTGATACTCGACTTTAGATTTTTTCATTTTAGTCCTCGACTATTGTGCAAAAGACAGTTTTAGTCCTCGACTTTAACATTTCCCACATTTAGTCCCCTGAGTATTATCAAATTGACACTTTTAGTCCTCCCACTATTATTTTGGCACAAAAGTGGAGGACTAAAAATGTCACTATTATAATAGTTGAATGGCCAAAAGTGTCACTATTATGAAACTCGAATGACTAAATATGAAAAATTTCAAAGACAGGTACCAAAAGTGTCTCCAACATAATAGTCGAGGATTAACAATGAAAAAAATCAAAGTCAAGTACCAAAAGTGTCAATGCCATAATAGTCGGAGGACTAAAAGTGGCAAAAACTCTCTCCTGACCCATAATGGTTTTCACTTGCGGATGGAATTTGTTCACTGAGCATGTTGCAACTAGTCAGAAATTTGAAGAACATAAAGCTAACAAGTGGTCCAGCTGAGTATGGGTTCAGGCGGGTTGGTTACCCGTAAATCCACAATAACCCGCCTTGCTGATGATGACGAAAGGAGGTATTTTGTGTTGTAAATTAGCAAAAGAATAAAACATACTCGACTGGTCCTTGGTCCATGATGACACTCCTGTGATTTTGGTCGGCTTGAACGACCTCAGAAACAGGGCTTGTCCCATCCACCTCAGAACTGTACTTATTGACTGTGCTGAAAATGTGTTGGGTGGAACCTACATATATATGTCAAAATATCAAACTGGGAATGCATTTATTTACAGCACCTCTGTTTTGAACAGGTGAGATGTTAAATAACCTGTAAAGACAGTCAACTCCATGTATTTTCTTGCCAAGAGTTTCTGGCACATGACTGTTCCATGAAAATTAAGTATACTGAAATCCAAGAAGTCCAACCTCTCTGACTCTTGAATTACGGAGAATCCAAATGAGCTTGTCCATGTGTCTAATACACTTTTAGCAGCTGGCAAAACTAGCCTCTCTACTCCTAATTCATTTAGTTTCTGGAAGCAAGTAGCAGTGTAGCACAAAGTTTTAGCACATTATGAAATACTACTACGATAAATAACGTATAACTAAATTTATTGTGGTAGCATTGTTCACTGTAGAAATACATATACCAATTGTTATCAATTATATAACAATTTGACAGGATAAAACCAATTTGTATGGAAAGCTACTTTCCACCTGGCCAAAATGGAAAAACACTAGGGGTCTGCTTGGGTGGAGTTTTTTGGAAGGGTCAAGAGTAGAAGGATTAGGATGGGTGATGGATTAGTCTGAATCTTGAGTTGTGTTTGAGAGTTGTTTTTAAATTGAAATTGAAAAATAAGCATAATGTGTGATCATATAAAATTTTAATCACCTTTCATTATTTTAGAGACACTCAGTTTATTAAGATAAAAAGCTCTCATATCTATGAAAATCCTTCCATGGGGCCAATTATCTTTGCCCACAATGTGTACAAACAGAAACCTCTGAGTCAAGATTTTCCAAACAAATAAAAAGGAAAGCAGGCAGGGCAGGGTGGGAAGTACCTTCTCTAGTACATTCATCAAAATTTTACACATCCCAAGCCGGCGATATTGAAAACGGGTGGCGATAAATGGAACCTCAGCTACCTTTTCTCCATGAACCCTTACCACAAGAAAAGCATTTCAGATTAGTCAATGACAAGTGTTAAATTCATGCCTCGATATGAATCGCCTGCTAAGCACAAAACTGAGCATATGAAAATCTATATTCGAATGTTCAACGTTCAGAAGTAACAAAAGATTTAGTTATTGTCAACATGGTAACGAAAAAAAGTAAGGAAAGAAGTAATCATCAGTTAGAATGTTCAACTTAACTCTACAACCCTAATAATGAATTACCTTAGAGTAGCCACTGTAATGAGCTCATCATTTCTCTCCAAAAGGACAGTATAGAATCCTTGAAAATTCAAACGACTAAGTTCAGACCTGAAAGAGATGCTTACCATTAGCATGGAGTTCAAATCTATTTTATTGAATGAAAGTGAGAAATGAAGAGCTTAAATCAAGTTCCTTAGATCTACAACTACACATATACAATTTAATCAGCCAGAAATCATCATCAACTCTATTTAATGATAAGCTTGTCATTCAGTTATCAAATGGAATTTATCACATAAAGATATCATAATTTATGAATAAGCTTTTACATTAAAGGAAAAACTAAATTCTAGTTTAGGAAATATATTAATTATGCATGCAGCCATGCATGTCGCAATAGATGAATCTCACCATCTATTAAAAACAATATCTTCCATGAGATCTCTCCCAGTTCGAGATTCTTTAATAGGCTCAAAACATTCATGCATCACACCAAGGGCAACATTGAGCTTGCTATAATTCTCTATTGAAACCTCATCTTCTGGAGCATCAAGAGAAGATTTTTCTGTTTCTTTGTACTTCAACAATGTCCAGGACAGGTCATTAGTCCCCAAATGAATTGGTTTTCCCAAAAGTTTATGAAGACCCAAAAATATCTGCAAAGGATTACAACCAAATTTAGTGTAAAGCAACTTAAATATGATTCAGTGTCTTCACTCAGTATTAACAAAGTAATATTACTTATTATGAAATCAAACAAACATATTCTTCTTGAATCCACACCAACTCAAAATGTACTGTTCCATTTCACAGCAGATTTCAAAGTGTTCAAGTTCGCACAATTTAAATTTTACTCTGTGCTATTTGCCAATGTTTGCATACCTGTTGGCATCTTGTATTGCAAAACCAATATCCTTCGGGGTAGCTATCATTCTTTGGAACACCATTATTTCTTACACATCCAACGTGATCTGTAAAGATTTATCTCAAGGTCATACGTGTAAAAAGGAAACATAAAATAATGCATGTGTGTGTACATACATGTAACCGGTAAAACATACACTGTACTGTTAAATTCAAATATTACTAAAGTGAAAATGAGACAAGTGTGTTTACATTGATGCTCGCATTGAGAACAGTTGATAGCATTATTATCTGCAAGTAAATCTTTGCTCTGACCACAGATTCCACAGCAGCAAAATGGGCAAAACCAATCACCTTCTGGAAGTTCCTGCTTAAGCAAATCAAGCTTCACTGAAAATGGAGATCATTTCACTCTACCCCTTCCATTTTCGGGTCAACTTAAGCCCTGTTTGGATGGGCGGGAGTATTTTAGTGGGCTTAATCTATATCTTGATACACATAGTTGAGATTACATATAATTGAAAGATTAATGTAATATGTGATCATAAAACATTTTAATTTCCTTTTATTCACTTTTAGCAACGTTCTACTTATCAACATAATGACTAAGCCCTCCTCTCCAGAACCCTCCATCCAAACAGACCCTTACGCATGAGATCATCGGATAAGACAAAGAAAAGCAGCAGTAAAGCACTGAAGAGAAGTAATCAAGAGAAACACCTCAATTCCCAGGCAGCCAGGATGAAAAGATGATGGACACATGTCACATAGGATTAGTTGACCGCCATCATGACAGATGGAGCATATATAGTCATTAATTTTGTTGTGCTGACCCCCTTTCTTTATCTTTGGTTCTTTCTTCTTTGCATAAAGTTTATGTTTCATCTCGACTTGGCAATCTAGAAGCGACCTTCCATCATCCAAAAAGATATTCCTTGAAGGGCAATGATCACTGCTTCCCGCATGAGCTCCAAATTTACTGAGTCCATAAATCTCCTGGCAGCAATGGCATTTGATTCCAGAGTCACTAATTAGCCCCTCCCTCTTCGGAGGGCTATCTTCCCTTTCACGATATTGTACTCTTGTGCTAGACGGAACCACATTATTCTCTACCAACCAAGACAAAACACTACGAGGCGTTTGGTGAGAGGAAGAGGGACCCACCTGCCTAGCTCTTTTATACGATCTTAGCACACGACTTGCGGAATGAGAACCTTTGGCGACATCTTCTCCCCTAATTAATTCCCTCAACTTCCTCTTCCTTTGCACTTCACTATGACCTGGCTGAACATGGTCCACATCAACATGTGTAGACTCGCTTTGCCCCCTGGGGCAAGATGCATCACTGGCAGAACATGTGTTCTCCTTGAGATAGTGTTTGCAAGCAGTTACAAGTGAGTAGAATATTCTTCCGTCAGGAGACATATATCGAACTTCCTTCTTATCAATGCCTTTACAAATTGCATAGATTTTCCAATTGCTGAAAACTAAATGCTTTTTAGCTTTATCTGCAATCTCATTGATTGTTTTCTTACACTTTTTGGATAGTGGGTCTGGAGACATAATGAGTACATAGTCATTGACTGCCTGAGGACAGAACTCAGGGGCAATAATAATGTCTTCATCCATAGAAGGGCGAGATTGTTCTTCTTTGCCATCTTCACTTCTTTGGTCATGCAGGGAGACCACAGAGAGAGCCTCTTGATGATCCTTAAAAATATTTAAAAGTGTGTATACTGAAGTCCCGGAAGGTGAAACATACCGTATCTTAGACTTAAATAAACCAACTGCGTGCTCGATTTTCCATCCTAGACCCAGAAGGTGTCTCCTTAATTTAGGATAAAGATCTTTCCGATGTCGGACATTCGACAGAGAAAGCCTTTTGAATTCTGCCACTTCTTCAGGGAAAAGCTTGGGTTGAAGGAGAATGGGAGACCACTTTGTTTGGGCTCTTCTGTATTCTGAAAGAGTGTCATGTGACTCTATGTCCATCTCCTTACAAATTTGTGCAAGTGACATAAATGAAGGTCCGGAAGGTGGAATGTAGCGGAACCTAGTACTCTTCTTGTCAATTGCAAACTCAACCGTCCAGCCTATATATAAAAGATGTTTTCTTACATTCTCATTTACTTCATCTGGAGCTTTACTACCCGACATATATAAGTTTTTAAATTCTGCCACTGCTTCAGGCAAATACTGGGCTTCAAGGTCAATAGGAGTCCACTTCAATTTGGTTCTCCTTTTAGAATGTTTGATTTTATCAACAGACACTTCCGAACTTTTACAATGAACTTTTCTACCATTATCTATGGTTGGAGCAAAATCCTTAGGAGCATTTTCCTTGGCAAGAGTTTCTTGAACATTGGAAGCACTGATGTTATGAGGAAATGTCCAGGGAAGGCAGAGGGAAAGAGAGTCATCAGTAAAATCTACGGAATCCAATACATCATTAAGAAGCTGTTGAGAAAAGTCAAATGATTGTCCTTCCTGAAGAAACCCTTGTGAATAGTCCAATACACTAAAAAAGTGAGTGATGGTAGGCTTAAAATTATCCAATAGGACTAAGGAAACCAATCCCCTCCAATAACTCCTATCAGAAAAAGTCCAGTCCTTAAACTCACTCTTCTCCCTTACTTCATACCAGATTTGCTTCAAAGAGACTAGAAGGGGAATCTTTTTTGCCACTTCCTCAACCAATTCAAGGAAGATCCAACTCCCACGAAGCTTCCATTCCTCGGAAACCTCATTCCAGTCCTGAGTGATCCGAAGCTTGTTTACACAGGCTGTCATTTCATCACCCATATCTGGAAAGAATACCTGCCGGTTCTCAGAACCATCTTCATGATCGAAAATCACACCTTCCCACCATGCATCCTGATAAAAGAAATCGACACATTCTCCATAGTGAAGAGTCCTGTTTACAACGTGAAGTGGCGGCGGAAAAGGCCTTATCATACCGCGGTAGGGGTCTGGGTTCCAATCAGCAGGTTTGACCCCATCAATCAAGGGACTAACTTTCACACGTTCAACCAAATTGGTGGATCTTTTTTCACATAAGATGTGATCATATTTCACCCGACGAGTTAAGCTTCCTAGTGAAACCACTGTTCCAGGGTGCCATGAGCCTAGGAACCCATCTTCATTACTCCTTACCTGCAATAGTTGCATTATCATCCTAGCTTAAGTGAAGTCAGATTTTCCTAAAAATAAAGAAGAGCAAAAATGGCATAAAATTGATGGAGCCCAGAAAAGAAACTACTCATTAAGTTGAACGGAGAGTTTCTTAAATAGAAGGGCAAACAAAAGGTATTCAAGGCGTCAATAAATCTATTTCCCAAATTGAGACCCGATTTAAAATTTGCATGTACAGCGAACCATAACCCAGAAAATGAACTTGGACTGAAACAGAACGACAGCTTCAATCCCTAAAATTCATTTCCTATAACTGAATAAGAACACAAGAAAACCCACATGCAACCTGCAGACCCAGACATCAATCCCCTTTATAGATAGAAGTCCGAACCACAGCATAAACACCAAATGCAGGAAAAATTTAGCAGCAAAAAGATAGTTGGGAAACAAAAAAAGACGAAATCAAGATGAATTCACGCCCAGCCCGGATAAGAAGAAGTGTACATACTACATAGACATAGACAGATTAAAATTTTCCAATCACCTTCACCTCGCATTCCTTCTAAGAACCAAAAAAAAGAGTAAAGAACTACAGCAACCATTACCTCAACTTTCTGACCTTTACAGAGTTTTCGATTAGTCGGAACACTCAATTTTCTGACCCTCGTAATGGTTTGCTGTCCAGAGTCAGCCGCCATTGGAGAGGGCTCAGCAAAACGGAAGAGAAGGGTTTAAGGTGATTCTAATAACAATGTGAAAGCTTGCGCATTTTTGGAAGGTTTTTACTCCTGAGAGAAAAATCCGGAGTTATTATACTAGTCCCTATATTTATCCATTCGCTCCAATCTTGATCTCCAAGTTTGCTCTGGACTATGAACAAGAGCATGATAAAGCGCCAGAAGTATAAATATTCAAGTAATTATTCATATTCTCCGTAATACGGAGTATATACGTATAGAAACTTCCGTTACAAAAACAAAATACGGTGCCGTGGTTGTACACTTTTCTACAGTTCTACTACTGCAGAAGTGTCCCATTCCATATTTCCATGATTTCCATCCGTTCTCTTCGGTTCGACCGGTCACCTTTTGAACCCGGTTTAGGTGTAAAAGTCCAAAATAGCCGAGCCTCCTGTCTGATGACTTTTCCGTTACATGTAAAAGTCCAAAAATAGCCGAACCCGGTTTAGGTGTAAAAGTCCAAAATACCCTACGGGTCTGTTTGCAACAGCTTCTGCTTTTAAAAAAGTGCTTTTTTTAATGAAATGGAGAGAAGTGATTAAATAAAAGTTGATAGTGTTTGAGAAAAAAGTGCTTTTGAAAAGTAAAAGTGGGTAGTGTTTGGTAAAATAAGTGTTTTTTGTGTAATAGAAAAAGTAAAAGCACTTTTGACGCGGAAGCCGAGAAAAATAAAAGTTGTAGTGTTTGGGAAAATAAGTGGTTTTTTAAAGCCAAAAGCTGAGAAGTGCTTTTTTAAAAGGAGTTGCAAACCAACCCGTATTTTTGTGGGTTAAAGCACTTGTCTTGACTTAGGGGCATTCCGGGAAATCATGGTAAAAAGAAGTCCCTCGAGACTTTTACGCCAGCTGATGTACTCAAGCTCGAACAATATGAAAAAAAATGTGAAAAAAACTAGACTCATCAACGACCTTATGTGAGAGTGTGAGTCCCAATGAAAGCGTTATGGTTCTCGCCCCATCATCTACAGTAATTTCAATCATTTCGGTCAAAAAAGAATTTCAAATTATTTATTCTAATTTTACATAATCCAGCGTGTGCAAAATAAAAAGTTATGTATTTGGCACGACTAATAAGAGGATGTTTGGATCTACTTCTTAAAATTGATTCTCCTCCTTCAAGGAGCACAAACAGATATTGTAATGTTTGGTCGAAAGTTCAGAAGTTCTTGTGGTGCTCCAAATGGATCCTAGAAACAATTTTTAATAAGAAATAATTACATAAATATGACCAAAATAAATATGGTTTACAAAACTATGACTAGTTACTAGAGTAGTAATGAAATCATAGTAATTCATGTTCACATTTTGTACTTAAGTTGCCACAACACTATCTTGTAATAATGAATAGTCATATTTATGTAAATAAGTTTTATTTGAATAATATTCTTGTAAAAAACCCAGCAATTTCAAATACACCTAAAATTGATAATCTTGGCAAATAGAGGTTGGAACCAGGGGCGGACCGTAGTACAAACCCGGGGGCGGTCGCCCCCCAACAACAAAATTTTTAGCATATATATAATAAAAAATAATTTTCGTCCTCCCAAAAAATATTTTGTTTAAGTTACCACCATCCCAAGACAAACTTCTGGGTCCGCCCCTGGTTGGAACTCTAACTATAAATCAAAATAGATAGTGCAACTGTGCAACAAAGATCCATTATTCATATGTTGCATCATGGAAATGAGAACAATTTTGTTCACCCTCTTTTGAGAGGGTGATGTTCACCCCACCCCTATTTGCATGACATGTGGCAAGACAATACTTTACAATGGCATGACAACCATAGATATAGAGGGGGTTATGTTCACCCTCCTTAATGGTGGTGTACAAAATTGCACTCCATGGAAATGGATATAGAATGATAGGACAGCGAGAAGCGTGATATTTGAATAGTGCATAAATGTAAATTTGGTTGAAATATCCAAAAAGATTAAGTTCGTGTTTCGTCTACATTAAAGACTACTGTTTCAGATTTGTTTTATTGAGAGGACTATGGTCTAAAATGTTACTTGTATTTTGGGGGAGTAGATTTGATAATTGATATATATCCTTAAGCTTCGAGAATTTACTCAATGAAGTATATCTATTTGATGCAAGACTCTAATGGTAAATATTCTTAACCAATAAATAAGTACATTTTGAGACATACGTAGTAAGATTCTATGCCTAGTTGATTTTCTAAATAAATCCCATTAGTAAACATTTTAGTAACAAGAACTGATCACAAAAGAATGAAGGGTAATAAATACACTATCGTATATGCTTTAACGAAAAGGTAATAAAGACTATTTTGTTTTGGACTGTTTTCACTTTTCAGTACTAGACCAGACCAGACCAGATCAGACCAGACCAGACCAGACTAGACTTCCGTAGTTATAAAATACACAGGGACCAAACGTTTATCAGACCAGACCAGATTAAACCAAACCAACAAATTTCGGTCCAAAAGAAAACATCTAGAGTAACACAAAAAATGAGCCTATACTTCTACACCAAAGAGTTACTATTCCGTACTAAAAACTTATTTGGCTCCGATCTTGACCAGGATTGCTTCACAAGAATTCCGAATCTAGAGGTTTTGACTCGGACTTGGCTCAGATATTGGCTCAGATTTAGATATCCGACTCAATATCATATCGGGTTTTGTCTGCGCTCGTATGATCCACTAAATGTGTCATTTGGGTACGTACATTTGGCCCGGAGTCTAGTCATGCCAAAGTTGGCTTGGATTTTTCTGAGCCAAAACTTTTTTAGGCTGCCAGGCTGGAAACATTCGCGATTCAGGGCTTGTTTGCAATCAATTAAAAAAAGTGATTTTGGCTTTTTTTTAAGAAAAAAGCACTTATTTTACCAAACACTATCAACTTTTACTTCATCGGTTTTCGTGTAGAATCTACTTCTAACTTTTTCTATTACACAAAAAGCACTTATTTTACCAAACACTACCAACTTTTACTACTAATCACTTTTTCCCAAAAAGTGCTTTTATTTAAGTACAAGTAGTTGCAAACAGAGCCTCAAGGTGGTTGGGATTGTTTACGCGATTCAAGGTGGTTGGGATTGTGTCCGTGCCAAATGACGTATATTAATTAAAAAATGTATACCATATAAACATACAATATACATATTTTTATAGTATAAAACACAAATTTAATAAGACCACTTAATCACAAATTTTAAAACCACATGTTTAATCTAACAGAACAGATACAGCAAGAAAACACACTTTTAACATTAATAAATGTAAATAAATAGCTAGTCATTCTAATAAGAGAAAATGGTCAAATGGACACATCTTTTAAACCCATGTACTAAAATAAGCATCATATAATCATCTTTTACTCCAAAAAATAATCATATAAAACAATTTATAGGAAGATGACCGGTTTTAAAGGGTTGTTTGCTTGTTTGTGACATTTTTTTCTTTTTTCTTTTCTTCTTTGTCTTCGTCTTTCTCGTTTTCTTTTTCTTTAACTTTCTCCATTTTCCTTCGAGAATATTACCCGAAATAAGACTAAAAAGGTTTGAAAATTCCAAAATAGAATTGTCATGTTTTTATTCCCAAAATAGGACTAATTATTGCCATGTTTTGGCAGTACTAGACTTCAAACATAACAGTATTTTCCAAACTTGGCAGTACTTACTCCTATTTTGGGAATAAAAACATGACAATCCTATTTTGTAATTTTCAAACTGTTTTAATCTTATTTCGGGAACTTTCCTTTTTCCTTCTCTCCTGTTATTCCTGCTCCTAGTCCCCTGCATCTTCCATGCCTTCTTCTATGTTCTTATCGTGTTCTTATTTTTCTTTTGTTCTTTCTTCTTTGCCTTTTTTTCTTTTCTCCTGACCTCTTCTTTTTCTATCTTCCTCGACTTGTTCTCCGGCTCCTATGCAGCCACACCCCCTCTAATTTTCTATCTTCTTCCTTTTTCATTCTTAATTTTAGAGATAATTACCCTATGTATGACTAAAATTTCTTCACTTTCCCAGTCTATGACCTAATTAGTTTTTTTACCAAAATAATACTAAAATTCGTATTATTTAATCAATATCCGTCATTAATAATTAATAATTAATTTAAGTGGACAAATATACCCTTTAGTTTACACGGAACTGTGTTTTAGAATATTTAAAATCAAGACACTATTGTCAACTTGAGTTATTGAACTCAAATGTTTTTGCTATTGCAATTCCAAAGTACGTAGTTAGTTAAGAGTGATTGTTTGTTTTTTTTGGCAAAGCTTTCTAACATATTATATTATATGTTTTATGTTAAGGTCAACATCCTTGAACTGGAATGAGATTCGAACTTGTGATCTCCTCATTGGGAGTGTCATAGTGATGTTATCAGACCACAAGGTACTTTGTTTAAGAGCGTGATTGTTATAAACCAATAAATCATTATAAAAGGAAAAATTATCTAAATATGAGTAAAATAATTTTGAAATTCCAAAATAGAACTGTCATGTTTTTATTCACTAAATAGAAGTAATTTGACTAATTTCCGCCAAATTTGACATCATCAGCTTTAAACATGGCAATTTATTACTTGTATAAAGTAGGGATACAGTTATGTTAATAATGCGCTGGATCCAATTATCTTTACAAAGTACAGTTAGAAGAAAGATTTAGCCATTTTATAAGCCACTTAATAATTTCTTTGAACCAAAAAGATCCGATTAAGATGATCCTCACAGGACATTCTTAAATTTCTCGTTCCGGTCCACATCTCCTGACCTGGTCCTTTATATCTCCGTGAGTCGTAAATGCATCATTGGTGTTACATATAAATCATTCCAATACTTGAAATGCGACTCATCTTCCCGGCATTTGTCCCACTAATTTCATTTGTCCCGCTAATTTTGGTGGTTTGCATCGCGGGTTAAAACAAAAACTTAAAATGCGAGTCAAACTCGTACATACATTCTTAACTAGGAATGTTGATTTTTGAAAGAAAAAATAACTTTAAAGGTTTTCACTTTAGACACACCTTTGGTCATGAAAAATGCAATTCTTAGTTCAGAAATTTCCCATATGCCTATGCGTCCAGCTAATACGCCAAAGAACAAGAATTCAACCTCCATCTAGTTTGACAACACAAGAAGTATTTCATTTATTTGACATAATATGTAGTATGTGTTGGGTTTCTTTCTTTATTTTTGACCCATGAGGAAAGCCCAACTTTGAACCCATTAAAGTCTTCTTTGACTTTCTTTTTTTGGGAGCTAATAATAATTAGGGGTCAGCCACACTATCTGAGATTACGAGGACAGAAAGAGAGCAGCAGATAAGAGAGAACAAGTCACAAAACATGAGCTGAAATGCTCATCACGTTTTTCTAGCAGGCAGTAGCGGAACAGTTCTGTTTCCTAGAGATTGAACCGTTGGATCGCCGTGATTTTTGGACAGCAGCTTCACAGCATCTGGGCCAACATTCTGGACGGTGGAGATCGGGTTTTGAGGTCTGGAGGTTGGGTTTCGTTGGTCTGGACAGTAGCTATTTTTCTGGTGATATTGTTTCTTATCTTGGCTCTATTTGATTCCATACACCTTGATGTGCTTACTTCCAAGGATATGATGATTTTGTATGCCTCTAGTAATATCTAGAGAAGACTTTGTATTGCTCCTTTGATGATGATAGTAGATTTAAGTGGCCAAAATGGTCCCATGGTTTTTCCCTAGTTAACGGGTTTTCCACGCTAAAATTCCGGTGTTTTTGTGTGGTGTGTGCTTACTGCTTTAGTTGATTATATTGGGGTGGCAGCAATATTGTGTGTGTTCTAATTGCATTAAGAACACCCTATTTGTTTGCATCCTCAAAGGTTCATTCAAGTTGGGAAAGTTTAGCCAAACGGAGATTAATTCCGCATTTTATTAGTTACCGTTTGTGGCTGTTTTTCCCATCGAATTGGTATCAGAGCCAGGTTCTTCTGTATTGGGTTAGACTTGTTTGAATTATGCAAGCAAACACAAGTAGGATGATCAATTTGAATGGTTCTAATTATCATGTTTGGAAAGGCAAAATGGAAGACCTACTTTATGTGAAGGATTATTATTTGCTTGTGTTTACTACTGATAAAACTGAGAGTAAAACAGATGCAGAGTGGAATATTTTGCATAGACAGGTTTGTGGTATATTCGCCAATGGGTTGATGATAATGTTTTGAACCATATTAGCGGGGACACTAATGCTCGCAGTTTGTGGAACAAGCTTGAACTGTTGTATGCTCGAAAGACCGGGAACAATAAACTGTTCTTAATAAAACAGATGATGAGCTTGAAATACCATGATGGAACTCCTGTCACTGATCATTTGAATTCTTTTCAGGGAATCATAAATCAACTTGCAGGAATGGGTATCAAGTTTGAAGATGAGATACAAGGCTTGTGGCTCCTTGGCACTTTAACATACTCATGGGAGACTTTTAGGACATCATTGTCCAACTCTGCACCAGATGGTATTATCACCATGGAATTAGCTAAAGGCAGTGTTTTAAATGAAGAGATGAGAAGAAAGTCACAAGGTTCCTCTTCACATTCTGATGTCTTAATTACAGAAAGCAGGGGGAGAAGTCAGAGTAGAGGTCCAGGTAACAAAGGGAAGCATCGAAGTAAATCCAAAGGAAAGTTTGCTGATTTTGAGTGCTATCATTGTGGTAGAAAAGGGCACACAATATGGTTCTGCAGACACTTGAAAAAGGAGAAGAAGAGCGATTATAACAATCAAAAGAACCATCAGAAAGATGAGGGTGGTAATGACAATGCTGAAGTTAACACTACTACCGATGAGTTCCTTATTTGTTCTGATCTTGATATGGTCAACATTGCACATGATGATTCCAGTTGGGTTGTTGATAGTGGTGCTACGTGTCATGTAACATCACAGAGGGATTTTTATTCATCTTACACTCCAGGTAACTTTGGTAATGTTAGGATGGGTAATAATGGACTATCAAAGATTGCAGGCATCAGAGATATTTGTTTGAAGTTTGACACTGAGATAGAGTTGGTTTTACATAATGTAAAACATGTTCCAGATATGAGACTTAATTTGATCTCCGCAGGTTTACTTAATGATGATGGTTACAGCAACAACTTTGGTAATGGAGTATGGAAACTCACTCGTGGTTCTTTGATCGTGGCTAGAGGTAAAAGATGCTCAAAGTTGTACATGACACATCCGAAGATCTTCAAGGATAGGGTCAATGTTGTGGTGAATACTGACATGACTGATTTATGGCATAAGAGACTTGGTCACATAAGTGAAAAGGGAAGGTCTCTTTTGTTGAAGAGAAATGTGTTACCGGGTGTGCATGATATTCATCTAAAGAAGTGTTCTCACTGTTTGGCAGGTAAACAGAACAGGGTTTCCTTTAAGAGCCATCCTCCTTCCAGGAAGGAGAGTATACTAGATCTGGTGCATTCTGATGTTTGTGGTCCTATGAAGACTAGGACACTTGGTGGTTGCTCCTACTTTGTCACATTCATTGATGATCACTCCAGAAAGGTATGGGTTTATACCTTGAAATCTAAAGATCAAGTATTTGAGGTGTTTAAGCAATTTCATGTCTCGGTTGAGAGACAGACTGGAAAGAAGCTCAAGTGTATTCGGACAGATAATGGAGGGGAATACATTGGCCCCTTTGATGCTTATTGTAGAGACCATGGTATTCGACATCAAAAGAGTCCTCCCAAGACACCGCAGTTGAACGGATTAGCAGAGCGGATGAACAGAACTTTGATGGAGCGTGTCAGATGTTTGTTGTCACATGCAGGGCTGCCAAATTCATTCTGGGGAGAAGCTTTGAATACAACGGTACATGTTATTAATCTAACTCCTTGTGTTCATTTGTCTTTTGATGTACCTGACAGGGTTTGGAGTGGCAAAGATGTTTCTTACCGTCACTTGAGGGTCTTTGGATGCAAAGCTTTTGTGCACATTCCTAAAGATGAAAGATCAAAGCTTGATGTGAAGTCCAAACCATGTGTTTTCTTGGGTTATGTCCAAGATGAGTTTGGTTACAGATTATATGATCCAGTCCACAAGAAACTTATTCGAAGCCGAGATGTTGTGTTTGTGGAAGATCAGACCTTGAAAGATACTGAGAAGAAAGATACAGTTCCTCAACATAATGATGATGTTACTGATTTGGATCCAGTGCCTCATCAGCATGTAGAACCACCTCTTGATGATGATGTTCAGAATGACGAACAACATGATATTGATGCTCCAGAACAGTCAGAGGTGAATGAAGAATTTCATGCAGAGATACCAGTACCAGACGTGCCACCATTTGTCCCACTTAGGCGGTCTACAAGAGATCGTCATCCTTCCACCCGATTTTCAGCTAATGAGTATGTCTTACTCACTGATGGGGGAGAGCCTGAGTGTTATGCAGAGGCCATGGAAGATAAGCACAAAAGGGAGTGGTTTGAAGCCATGCAAGATGAGATGAATTCCTTACATGAGAATAATACATTTGAGTTGGTGAAGTTGTCTAAAGGCAAGAGAGCTTTGAAGAACAAATGCGTCTACAAAGTGAAGACTGAAGAGCACACCTCACAACCTAGGTATAAATCTAGATTGGTGGTCAAAGGGTTCAGTCAGAGAAAGGGTATTGATTTTGATGAGATTTTCTCTCCGGTCGTGAAGATGGGATCTATTCGTGTTGTTCTGGGTTTGGCAGCCAGCCTTGATCTCGAGGTTGAACAGATGGATGTCAAAACAGCTTTTCTTAATGGTGACTTGGATAAAGAATTCTACATGGAGCAACCTGAAGGGTTTCAGGTTAAGGGAAAAGAAGGCTATGTGTGTAGACTTCAAAAGAGTCTTTATGGGTTGAAGCAAGCATCAAGACAGTGGTACAAGAAGTTTGAGTCATTTATGGGGAAGCAAAATTACCGAAAGACTACTTCAGACCATTGTTTTTTCTTCCAGAGGTTTGGTGATGATGATTTCATCATTTTTGTCACTCCCAGACCGCAATCTAAGTGCGTGTACAACCGCCGTATAATCAAGTGACGTCACCCGCGGGTCAACCTCACTTAATCATACAAGGCGTTCGAGAATACAATCCATCCATACTCAGTAGTAAACATACAAAACAACATCACAATTAAACCATTGAATAGCGGAAATATTCAACGGTGATTCATAAGCCACATCCGGCCAATAACATGGGCATGCAAACCCAAAAGTACTTTATAACAGATAAAAATATCCATGAGCAATGTTTAGTATTTTGAAAGAAAATGAGGAAGCACGAACCACGTCTTCCTTGAATTTGATGTCACTCCGAAGGGATCAGTACAAGTACCGAGCGAGTAGCAGGCTAAATATAGAATAACTAGCGTTTCAAGTATAAGACCCAAACATAGGGTGATACTTATATAAATAGTCTTTTCTCCTAAGTTAAGAAATACTTATTAGTATGTATACACTTGGAAAATATCTGATCCGTAGATCACCGTTTTATTTGGGAAAATAGTAATAGTCAATATTCTTGAGTAAAAACCTCAACCCACCCATATACCTATGAGTGTATAGGACTCCTCCTTGTCCATATTTCAATATCATAATCTATGAGTTTTGAGGATAACATAATCATTGGGTACTCCACCAATTTATAATCCGAGTGTTAAGGACTTTAAGTCCTAGGGTCTTCCACCAATTTATAATTCGAGTGTTAAGGACTTCAAGTCCTAGGGTCCTCCACCAATTTATAATTCGAGTGTTAAGGACTTCAAGTCCTAGGGTCCTCCACCAATTTATAATCCGAGTGTTAAGGACTCTTAGTCCTAGGGTCCTGACGTGCACTTTGTCGTGAGTGCACTCAAAATAAATTCAATACTAGCACTTATACGTAGTGTAGGTGAAGTAGAGTTCGTATCCACAGGGAAAGGAATAACGTTCTTTTTATAAAAATAGTAAGTAAAGGGGGGGTTTTGATTTTTGAGTGATTTAATTAAATTAAACACGAAGATGAACGAGTTATATGGGATTTAATTCAAAGATAAAAGTGACTTGGCATTGCTACTTTCCACTTGTTGATATATTTTAGTCGATCATTGTTATATCTATAACTTATCTCCTCTCGAATACTCAATCGAGGAGTATATCCAATTCATCGAGGATAGTTATTAACAACAACCGTTCATTAATAACCCTTACTATTAGTCAAGTATAGAACAACGCCATATACCGACTTGATAGTAGCATTTAATCTTTTAACTCCTTGATGAAATCAATTGAGATTGATAACCTCAACACAACGGTTTCGGTTTAACCAACAAAATTAATCCCTCTTAAGTTTATTAACCACGACCGTGCATTAATAACCCGAAGTTACTTACTTGTGAAACTATCAACGATTAACCATCGGTTCGTTGATTGTTTCTAGTAATAATTAATATGTGAAACAAAACTAGTTGATCCTTTAAGTAATGTTCAAAATATTAATATGAAATATGAATAGGGATTAATTAATATTCAAGGAAGAATATTAAAGAAGATGAATCCTACTATGATTAATATCAAGATGTTAACTCATTGTCATCTTAGTAACACTCCCCGATATTAACATAGAGGAAGGAATAGCTATTACTAAGACCAATGTCAAGATGTTAACTAATTGTCATCTTAGTAACACTCCCCAACATTGATATAGAAATAGTATTTAAAGGAAGAATTAATATTCAAGGAAAAGAAGTTAAGAAAATAACTCACAACTTTAATAATCAACAAGCTTCAAGAGCAATACCAAGAAATGGAAGTTTAGCTCCTCATTTGGAGACTAAACATGTTAAAAGAAATATAAAGAAATGCTATTCTAAACTGAGCTTAGGAGTATATAGGAATTGATTCTAAAAGTGAAGGAAAGGAGGTGTATTTATAGGCTTTTTGAGGTGCAGGTCGAGTACTCGATCGAGTATGTACATATACTCGATCGAGTATGTGTAGAACTTCGAATTCGATCCATACTCGATCGATATTCAGGTATAATTTATAGCTATACCCGATCGAGTATGTCGGTGTACTCGATCGGGTATGACAATAGAACGTGGCCAAATCTTTCCTTGCATGTTCATTTGTTCCCGGATCGGATCTTTGAAAATCAGTATTGGTACTCGATCGAGTATAAGGTATACTCGATCGAGTATAGGTCAAAATCAGGAACTTTCCTTCTTTTTGTCTTGTACTCTTGCACCTTCCTTCACCATTGATCATTTGATTGATCTTGGACCTGTTTAAACTCAGAATAAACCTAATCTAAACAATTTACAGGATTTTAACAAACTAAACTATTACACCGAAAGTGTGTAATTTCCGAAATATTAAATAACCAAAACTAACTAAAAACATAAATAAACACACGGAAATTACAAACGTATCAACTCCCCCACACTTAGTTCTTTACTCGTCCTCGAGTAAAGTCAAATGTTTCAAACAGTTTAAGACTATGTAGCACCGATACCGGTACGCGGAAACGCGGAAACGCGGAAACGGGTACGGGGATACGTCAAAACCAAAAAAGGTAGGATACGGATACGGGGCCATATTTATAAATATTAAAAGTTATGGGGGTGTATTTACAAATACTAAAAGTTATAGGGGTCTATTTATAAATATTAAAAATAGATTTTTTTTAATATATATATATATATATATATATATATATATATATATATATATATATATATATACACACACACACACACACACACATATAATATCCTATGATGTCTACCTATTCATTGCTTTGAAGCATTTTCCTTTTTCAAGATACTTAGTAATAAATTCATAATATTTCTCATATACACTAGTCATCTCGAAATATAAATATAGTCAATAAGTCATTAATTTAAAATGAGAAATAAGTCAAAAAACTACAATCTTGAAATTAAAAGTGCAAGTATCCAATTCGGAGTATGAGTTAATGACTTAATTCGGATATAGCCATATAGGCCCATTATTTGATTACCAAGTAAAATGTAGTTTTAGATTTTCATTTTTTTAGAATTTTATTAAGTAAAATTTGGGTTTTTTTTAAAAGTTGATACGGGTATCCGTCAGGATACGAGTATCGGAAACTTTCAAAAAATTACAAAAAAATGGAAACTTTTAAAAATTGCAGATATGGCCCGGGAACGTACGGTACGGGTATCCTAGAGTATCGGATACGGGAACGTATCAGATACGCCGATACGCTACCCTAGCGAAGTATCCGTGCTTCATAGGTTTAAGATCATTCCATGAGTTCAAGAAAGAAAGGAACTAAGATCACCAAGAAATAAAAAATGATTTTACAAACAACATTTTTTCTTGGGTTTTATGATCTTCTATGCTCCATCTTCTTGCCTCTTTTTCTCTGCCTTCTCCTCTTTCTCCTCAAGAGATCAAATGAGTTCCTGCACACAACAAATATTTCTCTCATATCTCTCATTTTGCCTAGGAGCCTTTTCAGGTTTTCATCCTAGCATCTCTTTTTGTTTTTCCATCCTTACTAACTCACTCTTTTTTTTTAATAAGCCATTTTTGCTTAGATTGCCCATTCTTGGGTTTTCAACCTAACTAGCATTTCAATTCTTTTATTTATCCATTTTTTTTTCTTTTTTTTGTTTACAAAGAGTAAAAGAAATTCATGCATAGTAAAGGGTAGAAAATGAAATTACATACCATGAGGAGTCTCCCCCCTTCTCAGTCCAAGCACTGTCCCTAGTGCCCGCCTTCTCCGCCGTAGAAGCCGCCTCCAAATCCGCCTCCAAAGTTCCCGTCTCCCATGTGAGTATCCCCGCCGTCATCCCCGCCATCAAAACCTCCACCCCCAGAGCTAGATCCTCCGAAATTTCCCCATTGAGTGGGGTCATACTAAGAGGGGGGTGGGGGTGGGTGAGCCATGGTATAAAATTGGCCTTGATGAGCCATGTAAGAGTACATAGGTCCATAGAACCTACGTTGATCCTCTTCATACCGTCGGTTGTCTTCGGCCCGTTGTTCTTCGAGTCTTTGAAATCCCGCCCTTTGTTCCTCCCGATATTTGCCAACTTCATTGGTAACTTTGTTGAACCCTTCAAGCAGTTGTTGGAAATAATCGGGATGTGGGAGCGCTTGGTTTGGTTCAGGCATGTGGTGAAGTGCATCCTCGGGTTCTTGTGGTGCGGGTTGGTGTTCTTGGTGGGGTTGGTCTTCGGGAAGATCTTGAGCTTGAGGTTCTTGGAGATGTGGTGGGAGGGCATGTGGGAATAGGAAATGGGGCATGTCGAACTCTGGTCTGTAGATGATTTTGGGGGTGTCAGGGTTCGGCAAAAGGAAGTATTGGACCGGTTGGACGTGTATGATCCAGTTGTACATGTGTTTCGGTCGGTCTCCAATATACACCGTATGAGAAAAGGAGGTGCATCCCGAGCGGCCTAACCAACCTATGTCCATCAAACAATAGTCGGGTATAGGAGAGTTATCCGTATACCCGAACTTACCGGCCAAGTGCATAATCACCCCTCCCAAAACAATGGCTCCTTTGGCTACGCTTTCTTTTTTCAGATGTGCCCACATGAGATTGCACAGATTAAAGTCTACGTGACGACGGAATAAAGCCACAGACATCAAACACACGTCCCCAATCCTCGTGTGGTGGTTGTTGGGGCGTCCAAGCAAACAATTTGCTAAAAATTTCAAGAATAACCGGAGGACGGGGTGTTGGACATGACTAATATACATTTGGGAGGAGTTAAAGTTCACTTCCCCGGTCATCTTTGTCCATAGGGAGTGCCCAAAAATGGTGGTATCCGAGATGGCTCTCTCGTAGGGCACGGGGATGCCAAAATGTTCAGCAAACTCGAGTTTCGTTATTGAATAGTTTCGGTTAAACAGACGAAACTCGAGTCTATCATCCCTAAAATCCGCCTCATCACTTTCAAACTTTACCGAACTCATGAATTCGTAGATAATTCGTTCATTAGAATTGTATTTCATATTGAAAATACGGTCCATGTCTAACGAATGAAAGAATTTTCTACAACTCTTATAGACTCCTAATTCACGTAGAGCATCATGGCATAGAAAACAGGAAGGTTTTACTTGCCTTTTTGTTGTTGATAGGAGTCTAGTTCGGTGTTCGGCGTCGGCGGGAATGATGTCTTCAAAGCCCGGAATAGGTGCCATGGTGTTTGAACTCTCTCCCCTATTCTTCCTTGGAGTCATTTGTGAAGCTTTTGAGCTCAAAAAGTCAAAAATTCGAATGGGGGTAGGGTTTTTTGGATTTGGTGGAAGTTTGGGGAAAGCGGGATTTTTGGGTATAGATATGGAGAGGAGAGTGAGGGGAGTATTTTGGTGGTGGAATGGGTTGATTTGGTGGAGAATTGAGAGAGATAATGTAGAGAGAAGGGTTAAAAATGGAGTTTGGGGGAGAGGGGGTTCGAAATTTTGGAGAGTGTTGGGGAAGATGAAGTGTTTTGGGGTGTATTTGGGGTTATATCCGCAGGGGTACCCGATCGAGTATCCCTGTATACCCGATCGG